TTAAAGCTGCAATTCAGGTGTGCCCTCTATTAATGTAATATTCATACTCATGATGCGAATCCTAGTCTATGTGCACTTCATGAAATATTGGGATAATATACTATTGATAAAGGGGAAAAGAGCGGAGACAAACTCCTTGGAAAGAAATATCTATGCTCATTTGGCTTGTATTTGATTCCCTTAAACTATAGTTAGGTTTCATTCCTGTCCAGGGCTTTTGTTATGCTAAATATTAACCACTAAGATGTGTAAATCATATCTTTCTAAATGAAACTAATTCGTTGAAGGAACCTCTTAATGTGGAAGAAAAAATGAAATGGCATCCAAAGATGGTGTATGCTCAAAGTTAGCTGAACCACATCTTTAGCTGTTTATGGTTTTCTGGATGATTGAGAGTTTTGATTTCTTTTTTATTGCAGCGTGGAGTATATTTTGAGATTACTTACTCAAGTCTTATTTTGGATGCCCAAATGAGAAGGCAAACTATATCTAACGCTAAGGTGAGTCCGGGAAATTCTGGTTTTGTTCTTTTGTATTTGGTTTTAGTAGTTGGTATAGTATAGGTTTAAGAGAAGACATGAAATCCTCTTGATAAATTAGTAAAACAGTTTTCTACAGTGGCAACCTCTAACTAGGGGTTTTCTACCTTGTAAAAAATAAAAATAAAGAATAGAAAAAATCAAGCTTCATGTTGAATTTGTAGGAACTATTGCATGTTCTCTAATATGCATTAAGAGTTATCAAGCCTAATCAGTCTACATTTTCACTTTCTTTTTCCTCTTATGCCTACACCAAGTAATCCTCAATCCAAATCTACTTGCAGTTGATCATGTGAATCCTCAAAATGTCCATTTTTTTCCTTTCTTTTTTCATTAATCAATATAGATTAGTTGTCCACAGGTTCTTTCTTATATGTGAAGCACCTATATCAAATTTTAAAAAATGGCTTTTGAACATTTCCCAACTTGTGGTAGTTTGCATCACAGCTTCTGTTTTCCTTATCTGTAGTGAAACCAAATTTATATTCTCTTTCTCGCCTTCTATGCACTCCACCTCATGCACCTTATCGCATAAGCAATTCTACCCTTATTAGCTAGACAATTTTCTTAATGAAAAATGGAAGTCTGTACTTTGAAGTATAAGCCATTTCCCTTTTGTGTGGCCTTGCCTTTACTGGAAATTTTATTTGAATTTGGTTGTGTCTAAAGGCAGCTTTCTTCTTAGATATCTAGATACTAAATACTATACATATGTGACTTAATTCTCTGTCGTTCATGGCTTTTAAGATAATACCAGGGCAACAGTATTCTGCTAACCTAGCTAGGACCCAAAATAGTGAAATTGTACGAAGCACATTGCATATTCACAAGTTAAGCATAGAGCAAAGACATTGACAGTCACTATTTCATATAGAACTCAAAATGTAGGAAACTACTGTTAAATGAAATAAGAATCTTATAGCAGATCATCAACCTCAAGATCCAGTATTGAGGTAGTAGTTCTTACTTGCATGTTATGTTACATGAGCATTTAGTAAAGCTTCTTAACAAGAACCATGTCTCCTCGCAGCAGGCTCTTTTCTAGTATAAGGAGACAGTAGCCTGACCTTTTGGCAGGGATTTTCTCAATTCACAAATATAACATTCAACCTAATTTAAGACTTATGATTTGTATTTTCTTACTATCTTTGGTGTCTAGGATATGTCAAATCTAATTTGATCTAATTGCTTAATGTCCAGTTGCTGGTGGATTGGACTCGAGGAAAGAATCTTCTTTTCTCCAGTGCTGCTCCTTCTGTAACCGAACTTAGAGGGCCTTATGATGTAGCGAATTTGGCATCTTTGCTCGGTCTCCAACTGGAACGTGCTAAAGCAGCGCTTTCCAAAAATTGTAGGTAACTTACAGAAATTACTTTATTTTTTTGTGTCAACAGCACTTTCGCATGATGGATTTTAAATTATCCTATCCTTATTTCTTTGGCAGAACTGTTATAACTAATGCTTTAAGGAAAAAATCTTACCACAAGGAGGCAATTAAGGTTGAACCAATAACATCGGGCATCAAGGAACCTGAATTTGATGATTGGCTCAACAAATGGGATCCTATCTCTAGTGGTGAGGGTGATTTGCTGTTAGACGACATCAAGAAATCTTTTTCTGGCTCCAGAAATGTACGAAAAGAAGTGAAACCCATCGACTTTAGTTCAGCTGTGAATAACCTGCCTGCACATGGGCTCCAGATTAGAGATTTGATATCTTCAAAAGTGGCGGGGCAAGTTCCTGTGGATGCTATTGAAGAATTGGCAGGTGTTCAGGTGGATGAGATGACTCTTCCAAGATCTGGGATATCACAAGAACCAGGTGGTGTCAATTTTCTGCCTGTAGAATGTTCAATTCTAGAAGATGATATGGATAAAAACCAACAGGGTTCTGGTTCTGAAAAAGTTAGGGTGCCACATTTTTCCATTGCTCTAAACAATGCTGCTAATTTGGATGAACAAGAGGAAAACGGTAGGATTGATAATGAGGATATACAATTTACAAAGAAGTTAGATATAACAGATACATCTGGGACCAAAATGCATGATTTTCAAACAGAAACTAGTCCAGTTAGTTGTGAAGGAAATGCTGTCTTGCCAGATGGTGTGACAACCCACACCTGCAGAAGAGATATCGAAGTTAGAGAAAATGGTATGACTGACAATGATGAAATGAAAATTACAGGTAAGTTGGACGTGCAGGATACTTCTTCTGAGAAGATAATACAGGATTTTCAACTTGAAACTTGTTCAGCTAGTAGTGATGGAGTCTTGCCAGAGAGTGCAGCAAACTATACTTGCAGAACAGATTCTGAAGTCACTCTTTCTGCTAATTCTTCCTTGGCGGATGTTACACTTTCAAAGGATGAGACTTTCACTGGTTCAAATGTTCAGCAGCTTGGGATCTCAGGTAGCTTCCACACAGATTCTCGTGATCAAAATGGCGCAGATGGTGTAGCCTTGGTTGAGGCACGAGTTAATAACAATCCAACTGACAAAGAACAATTTAGGGAGATGAGATATTGTTCTACTGCCTTAGCTGGTGGATCATCCAACAGTGAGCATAGCAATCCTATGGAAGTGGATGATGAGTATTTTTTAATTGCTGAGAAGGTGCCAAGCAAAGATGTTACAGAGGGAGAACCGGAACACGCTGGTGATAGTGCTGGACTAAGTCATCAGATCCTGGGTGGATCTTTGTCAGGTATAACTCTTATTAGTTTTGATTGTCCAACAGTCCAACTTTGCTTCCTCAGGGTAAATTGACTTAATTTTTCATTTGGTCTTGAGAACCAATAGCTATTCTCAAATATATTTTAAGTTATTATTTTGAGAAAATGATATTGAATTAAATTGTATCTGTGTCCTGAAAAACACCAACCAGGTCAAATGAAATGGAGCATAGGATTTGAAGTGGACAGCATAGTTTTTATCTTGGACAATTTATGTACTGATATAACATTCAGAAAACCATTCATTTCTCTTTTTCCCTCTCATCTTCATGGTCTCAGTTGCAAAAGTTCTCTTGTTGCTAGTATCAGCATATGTTGAATCCAGTAGCTTTTAATTAGAGACCCTTTATTTATATTGAGATTATTAATTTGTATAAATATTAATTCTGAACCAGTTACTAAAAACGAGCTATTGGTTCAATGGCAAGTTCAGAACCCACAAACTTATCCCATCTCTGCCTTTGGTAGTTAGCTATTTCTGTTTTTGAGTCACCTGTTAGTGTTTATTGGTTACCATCAGCATTTGATACCCTGCATTGGTGCAAATCTGTTATTACCTCCTTACAATTGGATACCCTTTTGGTGGGGATGGTTGGAAACTTTCAAGTTCAATTGCTCTGCATAGTGTCTTTTCCTTCAGTTAATTATTCCTATTTATCTTGTATTATTCTGATGAATTTTCCTTTTAGTTTCTGCCTGAAGCATATGTTTTAGCGTTTCCATCCATCTTTTGCAGGGAAAATGAAACGTAAGACATCTTATCGGCCTTCTTTGTTTCCTTTCAAACGCTTGTTGACTCGTAGGCCTTCCACTTTCAGAGGCTGAAATTGAATCAGCTTACGACTTTGTGAGGTTGTTTATTTAAGTCGTTGACAAGTGTAATACCATCAAAGAACAAAGATGCAATTATACGGTTAATTCTTTTCTGCTGTTTGTTCCATGCGTAATAGCCTCTTGGATTCTTTATGGATCATTATTCCAACTTTGCTGTAGGTCTATTCTTTGTTTATTCTGCACATTATATGCACCCGGAATATTGTATCGCTCAATAAATATTATATCTATCAGCAGGATTAAACAAAATCATTTCTTAGCACCTATTGTACTTGGCTAGTTAGTTCCAGTTATATAGATTAGATTTGATATGCATGTGGTAAGTCAATGCTTAAAACTACTTTTGATCTAGAAAAGTTGATCAGTTTGATTAAGTTTATATCATGGTGGAAGCGTTTTTCTCTTGTCTATGGTGTCTTTATATGTCGTCACTATTGCCCCTTATTGATCAAGGGAGTCCACTTAGGATTAGCATTTCACAGTGTCAACCCATTTTTTCCATTTGTTATCGCTGCTGTTTTTGTCTTTAAAATCAAAGTTGCACAAGGCTGTGTTGTATCCTTAAAATCAAAACCAAGATTTGTCATTATACAATTATTTAACCTTTGTCCAATCTCGCTTGCCTCTCTCCTCCCTCTTCCAATCTCGCTTGCAATATACAAATACGATTGGAAAGTTAATCTCAAGGAAAAAGAAAAGGAAATGTTTCCATGAAATAAGAAAATTATAAGGGAAGAATAGCATAATGAAGTGATAAGAGTTTATTTATAGTCTAAATTAATCCATAATTGAACATGTAAATTAAAAAAGAAATATGAGTTTCATTAGCCAGATAATTTTCTTAGAAGTCCTTTGTTAGTTGGGTTTGACAAATATAGAGAGTTTACACTTCCAAATAATCATATCAAAGTGAAACAAGACCAAAAATAAAGATTTCGGTGTCTTAATTAAATTCCAAGCATATGTAAAGATCAATCTTATTAGGAAGCACATTTTCTGAAAAACGAAAACTCTAAATCTACAGGCCAAAGTAGAATGTAAACATTATTGTAAATAACTTGCAAAATGAATAAGTAATTGAATAAAGAGCATTCTTTTAGAAATCCCATATTTCTCCAATCTGTCTTCGAGTTGATCTTCTTTGTCCTTCAACTTCCAAAGTTCAGTTGTGGCCTCAAATCTTTCTTTTCTGGTATCACTGCTACTTTCTTCCTGATTTTTAATATTATTCGTTCGCTGTTCTATCTCTTGTCTCGTATTTACCAGCTTCTCCTTGCTTCAAACTAGCTCGAACAACTGGAAATGCAAAACTAACAAAGTTAGTGAACTCAAAATATCACATAGAATTGAAGTAGCTTCTATTCTAATATATTAAAAGAAAAAATATTTAGTAATATCACTTACTTTTTTTCCTTAAATTAATGTAAAATATTACCAAAAATGAGAATTGCCCCGTATATGAAAAAATTGGAAAATTGATTAAACTCCAATGAATGAAATAAGGAAATATAACATATTGTTCTTGTTTATTTATTTATTTTGGGTTTGTTTCCTTCTTTTATTTTAAAAAACTAGAAGAAAATTAAGTACCAAAAAATGATTATGCTAAATTAACGTTCTTCCCGTATAGTATTATTATTTTCTTATTTCATGCAAACATTTCCTTTTCTTTTTCCTCTATGCTTTGCAATGGAATATATATTCCTAGTCTACAATATGGTAATTTTTGTTTTAGTAGAAATAATATTTTTAATTGGCACGATTAAAATATTAAGTAATGAATTGCTGGTGTAAGTTCTTTCACTTTAAAAAAGAAAAATTGTAATTAAGAGGTAGAAGAAGTAAAGAATCAGTAGAACATGAAACTTTGCACCTTCACTTGTCATTCACAGACATAAGTGAATCACATTGTTCTTGGTATCCATTTTGTTGCTATTGTTGGTGTCGAAAAATTTTCATGTTCATCGAAAGTGTTTAATCCACAGGACAATGTAGAGATTTTTCTTCTACATGAGAAATTAAATGAATATCAAAAATATACAATCATACTATTTAAAGATGAAAGCTTTAGTGTTACAATGATTGGATAGTCGGGCACGAATTCAAAATACAAAGTTGAAGAACTGCAAATCAAATCTGTAATAGAATAAATAAATCTCACAACCGGAAGGGGAAATTTACCTTTGAGAAAGGAAGATGAACATATGATCTCTTGGTTCACCATCCCGATCCTTCACTCTGTGAGAAAAACATTAGGAATAAATTAGCAAAAACTTCATTCAAACTCAATATTTTCACAAGCATGACAATGAGATAGTGAACAAACATTTTAGAGGAAGTGTGTTTTCGCGAGAGGAAAAATAATTTTTTTATCTGTCGGGATTGAATGTATATCACGCTATGAAAACAAAAATGATATCTAAATTCATTTCAACATACATATTACCATAAACTAATCTAAATTTTTATAGTCCAAAAGCATATTCTTGAAAGGATGAGTCGCACCACCTTAACACAGGAAGAGGAAATACAACGAGGAAGAAAACCAAGAAGATATGAAAAACATCCAGGAGAAATTGAAGAGGAGAAATATTCAATGTTTGATATATTATAATTACTTTTATAATCTTTATGAAATTTGAAAAGAGTTTTAATTAAATTCAATTTGTTGATAATCGTGAAATCAGAGATAATGTCGATTAGAGATAAAACATGAGTACTTCGTGAAACCTCTTTGATACGCAAATGAAATTCAACCTCTGCATTTCCTCAAAGACAAGTCATTCATGAATGTTGTAAGAGAAATTCAATAGATGAGGAGAATGAATGGAAGAAGATTGAGATAAGAAGCATAACTGGAGGAAGTTTCCTTCGTTTGAATTTCCTTTCAAAAAGAATTGCATGGCTTTTAGGTTTTGTTCAAAATGATTTACTGAAACATTGTGTTTTTCTGAAGCATTGTATTTTTCTTTCAAAATGTGTTTTTATTTAAACACAGTAAATAGTAACAAACAATGTGATGTTCTAGACAGGAGGGGAAGGGTACTTATGTAAATAAAGAAATAAAAAGAGAATCCTTGATTCTGGTGACGCCACGTCACCGATTGAGGGTTATCTTTTATATATATAGATATGATTGCTCATCTCTTTTGTGGATATAAGTCGATTGACCGAACTATGTCAAGTCTTCGTTTCTTTTGATATATTTATCATCCGTCTTCGTACTCATTGTATGTCTTTCCAAGTTTGCTTTACTAACTGTCGTATGACACTTTCTTATTTCGGTACTAACAATTAGAAGTTTCACATGGGAATTACACAAACACTCTACTGACTTGCAAGCCGACACTAAAGGTTGATTAGAAAAGATCTGGCAACAACAATCTATGAATCACAGATATACCAAAATTGAATTCTATGAGATTCATGTACTGATATAGCACAAATACAAACTGAGATGAAACTTAGAATAGAACAAGTCAAGTGTACAAAAGAGCTCATAGTCATAGATAGGGGTATTTATGGGTTAGTTATCGGTTGGGTTGTTATCGGTTAGGTTCGATTATTTAGTTATTAATTATAGATGAAATAAATTCAAAACAAAATATACGAAGTAGAAAAGCAAATTAATTAGAAAACAAGCACATGCTGACATGACATGTGATAATGTACTTTTTCATTTCAAGTTGAATTTTCACCAACAAAGGAGAAAATGGAATGAAAACCAGAAGATCCAACAACTGTATCATGCCCAAAATTGATTCAATTAAATCCAACAATATAATTCTTCTATCCCTTCAATCATTATTTTCACCGCCTTTTTCCACCATACTACTTGTTAGTCATATCGTTTGATTTGGATCTAGAACCGCAAGGCATTAAAACACGTCACTAGATTAGTGTCATGAGGTCTCCTAACTTTTATACCTAATAACTCTCACGTGTTATTGTCGATATGGACTTCTTATCTTAATGAGAAGTGTCACGAACACCCTTGCTTATGGACTCAATGTCCTCACTGAGGTTTGCCCCACCATTGTGATTTTCCCCACCACTTGAGATTTGTTACAACCTAGCAAAGATGTTTGCCTCACCTTAGCGGAATTTGGCTAAACTCAAGTTAAATTTAGCTTGCATCGACATAGTTAACACAAAAGTTACTCTAATACAATATGTAATTGCCTAAACCACTAGTGATATTTTTCTATTTGGGCAGACTTGCAAAACTTTTAATGGCACCATTAAAGTACTAAGGTCTACTAACTTATGTATGCTTAATACCCCTCATGTCTTTTGCTTAGATGTTACTTATTATCCTATATTAGGGTGTAACACATACAACCTGTCTCTTGACTTTCCAGAGAAAAACAAATCATTTTCACTTTAAAAACCAAGTGAGAGATGGATTCTTTAATACTTTGATCAAATAAGTAATGTACTAAAAAATAATTTCAACAAGCGATTCAAAATAAAAGAAATACAGGCCTGATAGTTGGTCATACGAACCTGGACTCTATATAAAATAGAACTTGTCTGCAAAATAGAAGATTTACGCATTTCGATCTAGACTTACATTGAACAATAGGCCTCCAGCTCTAGAGACAATCCAAATTAGACTCAATAACTAAATCAAACATAAAAACCCTGCATATTGTTTTTTCACCAACTTAAAAACTACAATTGAAATCAAATAAAAAGACCATGGATACTTTTTTTTAACCAACAATAGACTACATATAAAGTAAATAAGAATCTAAATTACTATTTTGTTTCCAAGGAAACAAAACTTGAACTTTTTCACATTCATTGGAGTTTCTGATCAACGAGTTTCCTCCCCTCCTCCTCCTCTTTCTTCTCCTTTTCATCATCATCGTCTTCATCTTTTTCTACTTCCTCCTCGTCCACCTCTAGTTCATCATGATATCCTCCATAATGATGCTGCCAGTAGAACAACTTTAATTACCTACTAAACTGAGAATTCTCACACGTCATTCCCAAATGCAAGCATTTACAATTGACACAGAAAAGTCTCCAACAGTCAAGACATGACCTAATTAGATAGTCCCTTAGATCATCAATCAGTGTACCCATACATTCCATAAAAGGGAAATCAATAACTATTGGTGAAGCTAGATCTTCTGTTAGTCGAATGACATTTCTTTCTTGCATAAGAAAATCAACCTGCATTATTGAATCGATATCTAAAATTGCATTGGAATATATAAGAAGCATATCACTTCATAGAAATCATCTCATTGATATCCTTATTAATTTTTTGCCTATATAATTTTGTACGCATTCTTCACAATAGCGATGATTGCAGTTAGTGCCCCGCTTCATTGCCTTTGACAGTGGAGACACATTTTCACAAAAAGTACATGAAGATTCTCCCTTTTTAGAAGTATTTTCTTTAGGTTAAGTGAATTTTGAATAACAGAATACTCAGTTTTTACAGGATTTTTTTACCAACACCGTGATCATGGCTTGATTCCAAGTTCTTATCTAAATGAAACTGAGTTGAGTAGAAGAGAATATTTTGTATCTCGATATCATTATCTCCACTCGCATAACCGTTTTTATTTTTAGTGATACCGATGACATTAAAATTCAGCAAGGTGGGATCAACTTTGATTTTGCCGTAGTGCAAGATTTGCAAATCTGTTGATTCCATTTCAGCTTGATTCTCCGTCCATGGGACCCCTTATTTCTTTCCTAATATATGCATATATATTGTAAATATACTATTTTTTTACAGCATATATGCATATATTGGGAAAGAAATATAAGGTCCCATAGAAAGATAATCAAGTTGAAATGCAATCAACAAATTTGAAAATCTTGCACTCCAACAAAATCAAAGTTGATCCCACTTTGCTAAATTCTAATGTCATCGCTATCACAAAAAATAAAAACAATTACAAGAGCAGATATAATGATATCGAGCTACAAAACATTCTCTTCTACTCAACTCAATTTCATTTAGGTAAGAATTTGGAATCAAAGTCTAATCACGGTGTTGGTAAAAATATGTAGAAATTGAGTATTTTGTTATTCAAAATTCACTTAACCTAAATAAAAATACTTCTAAAAAGGGAGAATCTTCATTTACTTTTTTGTGAAATTTGTAAAAATGTGTTTCCGCTGCCAAACAAAATGATGTGGGGCACCAATTTCAATCATCGTTATTGTGAAGAATGCATACAAAATTATATAGGCAAAAAAATTAATAATGATATCCAAGAGATGATTTCGACGAAGTTCCCTACATCTGATTGCAATAGAATTTTAGATATCGATTCAATAATGCCGGTTGATTTCCTTATGCAAGTAAGAGATGCCATTCGACTAACGGATGTTATGGCTTCGCCAATAGTTATTGATTGCCCTTTTATGGATGTATGATTACAGTGGTTGATAATATCCGATTATGGCATATCCTGAGTGTTTGATACTTTTTCTGTGTCAATTGTAAATGCTTACATTTGGGAATAACATGTGAGATTTATCAGTTTAGTAGGCAATTAAATTTTCTCTACTAGAAGAACCATTATGGAGGATATCATGATGGACTACAGGAGGACGAGGAGCAAGAAGAAGAAAATGAAGATGATGAAGAAGGAGAAGACGAAGAAAGAGTAAGAAAAGGGGAGCAAACTCAATGATCATAAATTTCAACGAATGTAAAAAAGTTGATGTTTGTTTCCTTGTAAACAAAAAGGCAATTTGGATTCTTATTTATTTTATATGTAGTCTATTGTTGATTAAAAACAGTATGCAGTGTTTTTTATTTGATTTTAGTTGTAGTTGTTAAGTTGGTGAAAAAATAATATGCAAGGTGATTATGTTTGAATCAGTTATTGAGTAGATTTGGATGGGCTCTAGCGGTGGAGGCCTATTGTCCAATATAAGTCTAGACCAAAATGCGTAAATCTTCTATTTTGCAGACAAGTTGTTCTATTTTACATAGAGTCTAGGTTTGTATGACCAACTATCAGGGCCATATTTCTTTTATTTTGAATCGCTTGTTCAAATTGTTTTTAACTATATCACTTATTAGATCAAAGTAACAAAGAATTCATCTCACAGTTGGTTTTTAAAGTAAAAAATGATTTAATTCTCTTTGCAAAATTAGGAGAGAAGGTTGTATGTGTTACACCCTAACTTAGGATAAGGAGTAACATATAAGCAAAAAAATCATGAGAGATGTAAAGTATATGTAAGTATGTAGACCTTGTACTTTAATGATCCCTTTAAAAGTTGTGCTGATCAATGCCGATATAGAAGAATATCACTAGTGGGTTAGACAATTACAAATGGTACTAGAGCAACTTTTGAGTTAACTGTGTCGATGCAAGTGAAAGTAACTTGATTTTAGAAAAATTCTGATTAGGTGAGGCAAGCATCTTTGCTAGGCCTTGACAAATCTCAAGTGTTGGGGAAAATCACAATGGTGGGGCAAACCTCAGCGAGGACTTGAGTCCATAAGAGAGGTTGCTTGTGACATATCTCCTAGGATAAGAAGTTCACATCGACAAAAACACATGATAAGTAATCAGATCTTACACTTTAGTGGTGCGTTCTAAAGTATGGTGGGTCTAGGGCGAAATGAAAACTATCACTAGCGAACGAACTATTGTTTGGTTGGAAAAGGAAACGTAGATTTATGTACATATATATAATTGGTAGAGTATTTTTTCTCATTTCACTCAAAGAAAAATTACAACGGGAGAGTTTTCTTATATTATGAAGAGTAGAATTAATTTGATTCAACATTTTCTAGGATGTTACAGAAAAATCATTGAGCTATGTTTGCTTGGTTTTAAGAACCTAAGAAGGTTTCCATGTTTTAGCAAAGAATATCATAAATCTCTGGAACTATCTTTCTGTTCTAGCTTACAGAAATTTCTAGAAATCTTGGGAACAGTGAAGCCGAAGTTGAAGATTATCAGGCATAAGTACTTCGGTATAAGGGAACTACCATTATCTGTATCAATACCTAGATAGCTTATATTGGAGAGAGTTTAGAAGAGAATACTTCAGAACTTGTGTATTGCTAAAAGATTTCAATGATATAAATATATGAAGAGACTAAATGTTGGTGTATAGATACATTTTATTATTAAAATAAAATATCAAATGTATATGTTAGTGGATATAAATTGTGGTAGAAGATGACTATTGGTTCTTGTAACTTATATGATTATTAGTTCTTGTTACTCTCATGGTCATTAGTTTCTGTAACTATATGACCACTAGTTTCTTGTAACTTATGTAACATCTATCATTCATTTACCTACATTACTACCCATCATTCTACCCATTGACTATACTGAAGACTTCTTCACCAGTAAATAGTGGTGTTTCTATCGAAAAAAGATAAGTATGAAATAATATTGTAGTGTGTAGTAGTGAAAGAGAGAATTGAGGAAGAAAGATGTTCTTTTTGTGAAGCTTTGGGCTCTTCAACTAATTCGGAGTTGCTTGAGTTACATGACATTGTTTGACTGTTGTATCATGGGACAAGTCAACAGTGATACTGCTTGATCAGCGTAAATTATGCCCTCAGTGGGCTTGAATCTTCTTAAAGAGAGCGAAATGTCTGCACCTCAACCTAAAGATTTTGTTTTCTTTGTCATTTCATTTCAATTGGAATTTTTATTATTTTTGGTATAGTACACCAACAATTTTAAGGAAAATGATGTTTTGTTATAGTTTGGGAAAGTGTGAATATCAAGATAGGAGATTACAACATCATTCCGCTTCAACGTCGCTCCTTCCGAGAGATGGAAGAGAAGAAATTTACAAAAAAAAAAATTTATATAGTGGGGTTCATGAAATAAGAAAAAACCATTGTGAAAAAATGGTTTTTGCATTTTTGAGAAACGCTCTAAAAAGGACATTACAATTGCATATATTTAATGTGGAATAAATCACATTTTTTCACTCTAATGAGATGATGTTTGGCTCTAACAGGAGAGTTATAAATGAATTATGAAAAACATAAATAGTAGTCATTTTTGAAATGTTTTGAGTGAGATAAGTTTTATTTTTGGAATGAAAAAATACCATAAAACATGTGATTGATTTTTCTTTGTCAAGTCACATAGTATTGAAATAACTGTGTATACATTTTATTATTATAAAATAAAATATGAAATGTATATGTTAGTGAGTATAAATTGTTGTAGAAGATGACGATTGATTATTGTAACTTATATGAACATTAGTTCTTGTAACTCTCATGGTCATTAGTTTCTTATAATTCATATGACCATTAGTTTCTTGTAACTTTTGTAATATCTATCACATTCATCTACCCGCATTACTAGTCCTCATTCTACCAATTGATTATATGGAAGACTTCTTCACCCATAAATAATGGTGTGTGTTTTTCTTTGTGAAGGATTTCAAAAAATAAATAAATAGGCAGTTTGAAATAATATTTTAGTTTGTAGTAGTGAAAGAGAGAGTTAAGACAAAGAAAATATTGTAAGTCTTCAACTATATTCACTATATAAAAGAGATTATTTATATATTGAAGGAAGATATTCTTTTTGTGGAGCTTTGGACTCTTCAACTAAATCAGAGTTGTTTGAGTTGTGACGTTGTTGGCCTATTGTATCATGTAGAGGACACTCAAGAGTGATACTTCTTGATTGGTGTGAATTATGTTGCAGTGGACTTGAATCTCTTTAAAGAGAACGACATATCGCACCTCAGCCTAAAGATTTGTTTATTCTTTTTGGAGAGAGGAACTGGATTTTCACATGTATCTATAATAGAGATATTATCACAGTATATTGTGAGAGGTGGAACATAATAAAACATTTCCTAAAGAAGGGATTTGACCAATTGAACTTTGATAGTTGTTGCAACGACGACCCTATATTCAGCTTCAACGGATGATCTAGCAACTGTCATTTTCCTCCTAGAACTCCAGCTAATTAGTTAATGACCAAAATATAAAAAAGAACCTAGAAGTTGATGCTCTATCGGATGGATCAACAACACGATCGACATAAAAGAAATCATGAAACTTTAAAGGAGATTTTGGAGTAATATGGAGACCAAAGGCAATAGTAGATTTTAGATATCGTAGCAGATGTTTGTGATCCAACCAATGATGATGATTAGGACAATGCATGAACTGGGAGAGTTTGTTGACAGTAAAGCCAATATCAGGCCTCGTAAAATTTAGATATTGCAACTAAAGAATGTGTAGCAGAAATTGAGTAAAGAATGTGCAGTGGAAATTGGAGCAACACTTCTTTAAACCCCAAGAAAGGAAAATTCCTTTTAATGCTTTATGAACATCAACACCAAGAAAGAGATGACTCATGGGGATCCTTCAATTAGAACCGGACTCCAAGGCCTTCAATAAATTGTTTGATGAAGGATGAGTTGTTACCTGAGAGATTATCTACATGTGGCACCTTTACGATATATGAAAAGAGGGTGATCACTTTGTAATTGCTAAAAACCATACTTCAAGGCAAATGATCATAGGGCTTGGTACCATGCCCTTAGGGCTTGCTTAAGTTTGTAGAGAGAGAGTTGACTAATTTATAGAGATGGTGTTGTTTGGCTAGATCACGAATCCTGGTGGTTGTTCCATGAACACATGCTTTTCTAATGGACCATGCAAGAAGGTGTTATTCACTTCCAATTGAAATAGAGGCCATGGATCAGCTAAAGTAAGAACCACACGCATTGTTACAGACTTAACTATTGAATTTCTCACAAAAATTGATTCCAGATCGTTAGTTGTATCCCTTTGCAAGCAACTAAGTCTTGTATTTTTATGTGAACCATCTGCATTCCTTTAGACCCTAAAAATTCACTTTCAACCGACTAAATTTTGTTGAGAATCTATAGGGACAAGAACTCAAGTACCATTTTTAGTTAATGCACTGAATGTATATGACATAGCATAGCGCCACTCAAGATGGGTCAGAACTTGTCCATTTGTTGTTGGTTGTAGTACTGCCGGTAAAGGATGTTCGGTGACATGGTGAACAAATTTAAGTATATAAATGTTATAATTTTGAAAGAGTGACCATGATATGAGTGTGTGGAAATGAAGAGGAAGGAATGTTATTTTTGTTGGAGGAGAATGATTAGTGTTCTCCATTGAAGGAGAAGGATCAAAAGGTAATGACAATTATTCAACAAAATGATTGGCAAGCAAGGATGAAGTAGGAAAGGAATTTGATTCAAATGGAATTATAGTGTGAGAAAATGTAGTAGAAGGGATACCATGCCAATTTGAATTTGACTGAGAATCTGAAGTATGTGTTTGATACAGAATTTTATTAAAGGAAGACAACATGACTTGAGGTAATGTACCTCTTACACTTAAGATCATAGCAAACATATGCACTCTGATGCAAAGAGTAACCAAGAGAAATGCAAGGGACAAACTCGAGATCAAATTTGGACTTGGTATAAGGACGACGACAAGGATAACATAAGCCATCAACAAAACGCAAAAATTGATAATTTTGACAACGGTTAAAAAGCTTTTGATAGGGAGAGTAAAATTAAAGAAGTGGTGTGAGAATATGGTATGTGTTTTTTTTTAAAATTCAAAAGACTAAAAGGAAGAATGGAGGGATGTTTTTTGGAGTATGTAATTAAGACCAGTTTCAACTAAGTGACAATGGCGACTTTCTGCAGCCCCATTGTGTTGTGGGATGTCAGGTGGTGTTTGTAGATGATTTATTCAATAAGATTGAATATATTTTTTTAAGTGAAACATATTATCCACCCCATCGGTGTAAGTTTATTTTATCTTGACATTAAAGTTATTTTTGAAAAGTTTTTGAAATGGTGGAAAAATAGTATAACACATTTAATTTAGCCATTGAAGAAAAGAACCAAATATATTTTATGTAATGGTCTACAAAGATGATATAGTAACCAAACCCAACAACTGATTGAACAGGGGCAGGACCCCATAAATCATAGTATAATATCTCAAGAGGTCTACTAACTGTTAGAGGAGAAACACCAAAGGATTGACGGTGACTTTTATTGAATTGGATGCTTTGTAACTAAAACTTGGACAAACTGAAATTATAGATCCTAGCATTAGGATGACCAAGAAATTGATGCCAAGACTATGGTGAAACGTGAACGCTGAAGCACACATATTTATTTGAAACTACAGAGGAAAAAAACTTGATCAAAATTGATCAAGTGCTCATTTGAACTGAATCTCCTTTGTGAATTGATCTTTCACAAGAAAATATTCAGAAAAGAACTCAATAACTCAATTAACAATTGGTTTGAAGTATAAAATTGTGATACATATATGAGGTTGATTATTCAGATAAGGGAAAACATAAAACATTAGAAATATATAATTTTTTTGCTGGGAGAAAAATAGTACCATAACCAACATGTGAGATAGACAAACCTGAGCCACTTTTGTCACTACCGTCATATAGCGAATAAAGATATAGGTGATCACACACAAATTACCGAGAAAAGTCCAAGAGTAGAGTTTGTCATCAATTAAAAAACCCAACTAAGAGTCAGAGTCAAATTCTAGAGGAAACAATTTATCGGCAATTGAAAAGACAGAATCAAGAGTTAAAAGTTTGAACCTAAACACTGAACTTACAATGCTATCAAATTAAGAGAGATTTTTTTTAACTAAGCAAAGGATTTGGGAAGAGACAATAAGAAACAAGGGATAATTGGGATTTAGGGAATTCAGAATTTAACAACCATTCAACGATCCATGCAAATTAATCAAAGGTAGGCTAGATAATCATCAAATAACACTTAACTCTTTTTTTTTTTATCTCAAAGTGCTTTCTCATTTTCAACAATAGTACAATCCAATACCTTAATCTAAACCTCTATTTCTAGAAAGTTTAGCTTTCAACAAGGTAAACCTTAATTATCTTCTTCCGTTCTCAAATTTAGGAATCAAAGTTAAACATTATTATCAATCTAATTCTCCATTCATGAATAATTTTTTAAGCTACCCATGAAGATCAGAATTTAGATTCAAGCGTCCACTCTCAAATCATTAATTAAAGCATGAGAAATAGATCAAAACCTAGTCATGAAAACTTGGAATCACATACGAAATCATTAGAACGAACAATCAAGACCCAAATAAATTATCTATTTCTAGCATAAAGTTCCAATTTCAAATAGCAATTACACCCACATATCTAGCAATTTAGAGGAAGGAAATGAAGAAGGGAATAAGGGATTTACCAAATAGAGCACAATCTTCAAATCCACAACTGAAATGTAAGGCAACTTGCCTTTAGTGTACCAAATGGAAATCTACAATTTTTGTCTCTAGATCTAAGATAAAAGATGATTACTCTACAAATTTGAAATTGAAATTGTTCAATGATATTCCATGCTGCCTCTTTCCAGCCCTTTTGTGAGAATTAGGGTTTCAATACTTGAAAATTTCCAATTCTGTCCTTTTAAAAATAGGTGGGCCTCACGAATGTGGTTCAGAATTCCACTATTAGGGAGTTGATAAAAGTGTATTACTCAATATGCTTGTATATTAATATTCACTTTATTACTCAATCTGCCTGTATATAAGTTATTCACTTTAACCTCGTACAAATAGAAGAAATTAAGAAAACATTATTTACCTTCTCAAATTTTTTGTGCTAGTATTCACATTATTTTTAATTCCTATTGTCCTTCTCTTTAACCAAGTTTTTGATAAAGTTAAAGTAATGCTTCATCAAATTATGAATCAGAAATCGAAAAAATATTGAACAAAACTAATTTAAATATATATATATATATATATATATATATATATATATATATATCAAGCGAAACCACAACCAAGGAAATGGACTTGATAAAATAAGCAGGGAAAGAAGATCCTATTGAGCTCGACTCTAGTCCGACTTTGTGAAATGACTAGAGAGGTGTATAAGTGGGAGTCGAAAGGCGAAAGTGAAATTCCACTACTTTTAATGTTATTTTACTTATTCTATGAATCGGAAGCGGGGCACTGCCCCTCTTTTGGACCCAAGACTCGCTTCGCGGGCCGATCCAGGCGGAAGACATTGTCAGGTGGGGATTTTGGCTGGGGTGACATATATATTAAAAGATAATGCAGTTGTTTGTGTGTGTATATATATATACACACTTAAAATTTCAAGATTACAACAAGCATATAAGGTGGGAACCAATTTATCAACTTTTAGAATTAGATTTTATGTTTTCACACTTAATTTTATTTTAAATTAGTTATTTATTACTTGCAAAATTTTGTTAACAATTCATACAATGATTAGATTGGTGAAAGAGTGTTTTTCAACGTTGAATTGATGAAATATCACCTAAATTAATAACAGAAAAATAAATCTTTGAAGAAATAATTTATAAAAAACATTAAGTAAATATTTGAAAAAATCATTTATAAAAAAAATATTAAGTAAATAATTTGCATCTAAAAAGTGTAAGAAAAGTAAAATTTGAATGTACACATATCAATTAAGTTTGTTTAGATTTTAGAGGCACATTTAGATTTTAGGTCACTAATAATGAAAATTTCGCGTTAGACCTTTACATATGTTGAGTCGCCCCTTGCTATATGTTTCTCCGGCAAATTGATTTACACCACTATTCAAGCAGTTCTGCCTTTTATTCCTTTAGCTAATTGCTTCCTGCGCCATTAGAGCCCTTTGCGATGGAGCACAAGCTCTCTTCTCCATGGCCAATGCATATTAGTAACCTACATTGAATAAGGACTCATCTAGTAAAATTTTCTTAAGAAAAAACACTCATTAAAACACAATATCAATACTATTTATTGAAACTATCGTCCTCTGAGTGACGGACCATCACTTGGGTGATGAGTTGTAACTTAAGACGTCAAAACTGCTAAAGAAAATGACTTTACTGCTTAAATACATCACCGAGTGTGACGGACCATCACAGACCTCTTCACACACTGTCAACTTGCAGTGTCTTTTTTAAGCGTAACTTTTTTATTCCCGACATGGATTGACAAACGGTCGGAAGAGTTTGAAAGAAGACTCATACACCTTTAATGTGATAGGTCATGAGTTACCTAGACCTTCATATTCTAACAAATATGGTTTTGTGAAGTTGACTCTTATATGAAGTTATGCGAAAACTTAGCCAGTAGGAAAGTTTTGAACTCGACTTAGTCCTAGTGGTTCCTCATGAATCTAATTCAATTCGAGTACACTTAAAACACTTAGATATTGATCTTAGCACATATATATAACTAGTACTAAAGAACGTGTCTTGCACGTTTATCCCGTATTATTGAATTATTATATAGAAAATATTGAAATTAACAATATTAACTTTTTCGTACATCATATTCGTTAAATAAAATTCAGTGAAATACTTTCTTTTTAAATCATAATAGTGGAATGTTGCATTTGCCATCAAGTAAGAAATATGTGAAGATAATTAAGATGATATAACATGTAATGGTATGAATATGTCGATATAACTTATCCTCAATAATATCTCATTACGCACATTGCACGTAGATCCCATATCCAATTTGAAAACATAAAAAAGAAAATTTTAGGAATAAATATAGCAAAATACTTACAAAGGAACCAATTTACATGAAATAATACCAAAATTTGAATTCTTGGAACATATCCAAACATGTTTGGGAGATAGTTATCCTTCATCTACATCATTTACAATAAAAACTAAAATATAAAAACTATTAGTGTATACACGAGTATATATCTTAATTTCATTCTATTTCATATATAGTGATAAAAATCTATTGACTTCCAAACATTCATCCTCTATTTACCAATATTATCATAGATGATAGCGTCTTCGATCCAAATGCAACACTAATACTACTATTCCTAACAGTTCTAAAAGACAATGGTACTCTTTTTCTTCTATACCTAGAAGATCTACCGTAAAGAAAACCAAAAAAGTAAATAAAATAAAGAAAGAGAAATGATAAAAGAAAAATGAGAATAATTCTTAATCGGAGAGAATTTGGCATATTGGAGCAAAATAAGGTGAACAACATAATAGTTAGATATCATCATCATTATTATCTAGAACAATTTTCTTCCAAAGATGGAAGCTAGGTAAGATCTGAAACATGGAAAATTAGGCCCTAACAAAATAAGGTGAAAAATTAAATGGAAAAAAAAAAAATATATATATATATATATACTATGTAAAATGACAAATAATGAAAGAAGAGTTTTATTTACTTATCCAAAGTATGCAAAATAAGGTGAAAAATTAAATGGAAGAATACATATATATATATACACTATGTAAAATGACAAATAATGAAAGAAGAGAGTTTAATTCACTTATCCAAAGTATGTAAATTGGAAGAATATATATATATATAAATATACTATGTAAAATGACAAATAATGAAAGAAGAGAGTTTAATTCACTTATCCAAAGTATGTAAATCGGTGAAATCACCAATTTCAATTTCTCCGATAATTACCTAAAAACTAAATATTAAAAGAAATCTTCTCCAAATATGAACATATATTTGTTAATGTTAAAAATCAACTTTGTGAATAGATGGATGTCAACCTCAGTGAAAATTTCCAATATCCATTTCTAACACTGCATGCTCCATATGAAGTTTTAGAATTTATACACATTTTCTTGTGGCCACCTCTTTGCTACACAAATATTATATATAGCTCTCAAAATTAACTACCCTAGCAACTCTTTATTTTATATTATATTATAGCTGTGAAAATTTAGTACCCTTCAACTCTTCATTATCGTACTTTTTATTATCATAATTATAATAACAATAATGTGAAAATTTATCTCATAATTAATTACCCTGCATCTCTTCATTCACCTTGTAACAATAGGTGAATATTAATAAGTAGAGGGAGAATAATTTAGATAAGGAAGGAAATTAAAAGCCAACATACGGAGAAAACCATCAAGTGGGTACATGATGATTAGCATTAGTATGATAATGTGATATGATTATTATTTAATTAATTAAGTTTTATTACTTTTTTATTAAGTATAGGAGTATTTTCGTAATTCAACTTTTGCGTGAGATGCTTCTCACTTTTAGTAATATATAATATATGATATGATATAATGATGATTATAAATTATCGGGTTTCGACTTATACACGGAAAATGGTTCGAACCTTCGCTTAGAAGTTGTTGGGTACTACATCATTACTTGTGAAAATTATCTAAGTAAAACTAATAAAACGAAACATGTAACCCAACAAATTATGAGCTTACTTGTTTGATAGAGATGAACAAGCCTTTGAGGTTTAAAACTTTCTGTCAATGATTCCCAAGGATATCGTTATAAATTTTCTGCTGAATGTTCCTCAAAGTGATAGTCTTTCCATTATATAGAGAAAATAAACATTGCACCTCCATAAAGATACACAATTTCTATTTCGAAAAATCAGTTATTCTATCTCTACAAATCTGCTATTTGATTCGTCTAAATATGCCTTGCTATCCCTCCAAATCAGTTATTCTATCACAATTTTTACTCTTTTGATTCTATAACAAATGAATAGTCATGGATGAAAATAAATTCAAAACACAAGATATGGAGTAGAAAATAAAATGAATTAGCAAACAAGCACCTGCTAACTTCACCTGTGATAATGTACTTTTTCATTTCAAGTTGAATTTTCACCAATAGAGGAGAAAATGAAATGAAAACAAGAAGAGTTAACAACTGATCAATCATTCCTGAAATCGATTCAATTAAATCCAAAAATATAATTCTTCTATCCCTTCAATTATTATTTGCACCGCCTTTTTTCCACCATACAACTTGTTGGTGATATCGTTTGCTTTGGGTCTAGGACCGCAAGGCATTAAAACGTATCACTAGATTAGTCTCATGAGATCTCCTAACTTTTATACTAAATAACTCTTATGTGTTTTTTGTCGATATGGACTTCTTATCCTAAGGAGATGTGTCACAAACACCCTCTCTTATGGACTCAACCTCCTCGTTGAGTTTTGCCCCACTATTGTGATTTTCCCCACCACTTGAAATTTCTGAAGACCTGGCAAAGACGTTTTCCCCACCTTATTGGAATTTGTCCAAACTCAAGTTAACTTTACCTTGTATGGACACAGTTAACAGAAAAGTTACTCTAATACTATCTGTAATTGCCTAATCCATTCGTGATATTGTTCTATCTGGACATAGACCTAGACAACTTTTAAAGGCATCATTAAAGTAAAAGGTCTACTTACTTATATATACTTAACATCTATCTTGTGTTTTGCTTACATGTTACTTCTTATCCTAAGTTTGGATAACACATACAACCTCTCTCCTGATTTTTCAAAGAAAATTAAACCATTTTTACTTTAAAAACCAAGCCTGAGATAATTTTTTTAATACTTTGATCTAATAAGTGATGTATTAAAAAATAATTTGAACAAGCGATTCAAAATAAAGAAATATGCGTCTGATAGTTGGTCATAGAAACCTGAACTTTATATAAAATCGAACAACTTGTCTGCAAAATAAAGATTTGCACATTTTGGTTAGATTTACATTGAACAATAGGCCTCCACCGCTAAAGCCCATCCAAATCAGACTCAATAAATAATTCAAACATAAAGACCCTGCATATCCCTTCGTTTTGAAAAATTTAGCTAACTAGTCAAAAAAATCAAGTTATTTAGTGATAATATCCATACTTTAATAATATTTGTAAACATGTCAAAAATATCATTATTTTAAAAATAAATAATTATTATGATATTATTAATATTTTCTCTCTCATTATTTACAGTTTTTCTTTCTCTCTCATAGATTACAAATTTTCCTATATTTATGTAATTGGATAAATATTAATGTCATTTTAATTTTTTTCTTTTCTCTTTCTTACTTGCTTCCGAATCAAATTTCCAGATTTTTCTCTCTTTTCTTATTCTTCTTTTAATTTGTCTCTCTAGCATTTTTCCAAATCAATTCCATAGATTTTCGATTCAATATATTAATATTTTCTACTATTCTCATTTAATTTCGTTGCTAGATTTGATTTGAAGATTAACATTGATTTGGGTATTATGTTTTTCAGATTCCTTATTTATTTACTTACTGATTTTAGTGTTTTTTTTTAATTTTGTTGTTGTCCTTAAAATATTTTTTAGGGCTTGAGACTACATAATTTTCTTTTCAATTGACGTTTTCAAGAGAGTTACTAGAGTTATTAGACAAAATAATCAAAGTTCTTCCGATTTTCCATCATTTAATTTTTTTTTCACTCAAGAATTAAACAACAATGTAGGTTCCGCTTCTAAGAATGGATATACGACGGAGAAAAATGCTTGAATCCGTCGATATGCAAAATCCCACACAAATTCATAACCATGAAGTTGAAGAAGACCAATTTATTCAAGAAGAGGTTTTTTTTTTTTTACATGT